TAACTAGAAAAGTCAAATGCAGAACATGTGTGATGTGTCCAGCATTCACCATAAGCAAGAGATTTGTTTCTTTTTAAAAAATGAGAAAAAATCAATTGGGGCAGATGGGTTGTCTCTGAATTGTTCAACCCGTTGCCAGAAACCCAGCACAACACACAACTTTTGAAGCTTCTTCCCTAAATGTACCCTAACAAAGAAGCTTACTCAAAGATGGACAAAATTTAACAGCAGCATAGCAGAATCCACAGTTTACTCAGAAGTGATTTGGAAAGTGAAGGATGGATAAGGCCAAAGAAAGCTTCATTATTTCCGTCCTGGAGTTGAAAACGAAGGGAATCGCTGCTAGAAAGAATTTTGATTTAGTATTGACAATAACAATTCAACCTTAAATGCCACCTTCCGAAGAAAGTAACCAATCCTTGCAACAGAAACATATATATGAATTGATTGATCATTTCTTTCTTTGACTGCACGTTTGCTTGTTCTGGGTTTCTCCGTCCTCGACTTAAATGCTAAAAACCGTAAGGGTTAGAAACCGCCAATAACAAGTTCGTGAAGAAAACAGATAGGTATGAGTCAGCCTCCCAGCCATCAACCATCTGTTTGGCTTCACAAGAACAAATCGAAGTCCCACCCAGATATTCTAAACCCAAATCCACACTGCAACTCGCCCTTTTTCAACAAGGGGAACGAAAGAAGAACACGTACAGTTGAGGAAACTAGCAGATCAGAGGTAAGGAAGTCATTTAAGAGACCACAATTGGTTTTTTGTCCAGAGCAGAGAATTTACCTGCAGGTGGTCGTCTTCTGTAATTCTTCCCTTAACGGCGGGGAATAGAGTGAGTGAGTGAGTGAGTTACATGTTTCCCGGGAGTAGGAACAGGAAGAACTGAAACGGCATATTTCCGGAACCACAGTGAAGGAAACGAGAGAAACCCAAAAAAGTAAGGAAGAGCCGGAGTGGGATTGAAGCAAAAGTGAATGACGGAAAGGAATCAACAAAGGAGCAAACAAGGAGGAAGGGCCCTCCAGACTGGGAAAAATTGAATTTTGAAAAGAGAGCGAGAAAAGGGAGAGCGCGTATGAGATACGATTTGCTGGATGGCGAGGGAAGAGAACAACAGAGTGGAGGCGAAGAGGGAGTTTCAGACAAGGAAACGGGACGACGACGAGGAGTGAGTTAAAGGGTGGTTTTGTTGCTTTTGCTGTGCGGCTTCGCCGCGATACTTTTAATTGTTTGGTATTTTATATATATATATTTATTTATAATCTCAAGTTGATGCTATTTTAGTTTTTTTCAGAAAATCCGGGGATTGGTGTCATGAATTTAAAAAGGGCCTCATCATCTCAAATCAAGGAGGATCAGCGCTCAAAAGCAGCTAACCTGATCTTTGATTAAGCGTTTAGATCCAAGGGAGGACTAGGTTAGGTTTATATATAGAAATATATGATGATGATGGCACTTGTCTATCCAAACAAACATAATTCCAACTACTTCTATTTTAGAAATAAATGAGAAAAATGATTTAGCATGTATCCTCATCTAGTATGATATCGTAGAATAATATTATAAACTCTTTAGCGAATGCAAGTAATCGACAATTTTGATGACGAAGAAGAAGAAACGCACTGAGGAAGTGAAGTAATAAGTTATAATAACCCTTACAAGATGCAAAAGTACTTAATGCCTAGTTCGTCATCAAACTGGCAAGACAGATCTAGAGATTGAAGGAGCGAATCGATACTTCAATGGTAATAGCACCCTGGCCAAACCTGATTAGCACTTGTGGCCACATTGGCCCTTTTTTTAGTATGATCTTTGGTAGCCTCTAGGTATCGTGCGACTTGTATGTGATTAAGTATAGTTTGGCGTATGACTTGTCTGTTGATTCTCCTCCTTTCCTCGTATTCCTCTTTGCCTACGACCTCTCTTGTATAAGTAAACAAAATTATTAAATAGTTTTAAGGCAAAATACACTTCCATAGTCACAACTTTCACGTTTGTGACAGATATAGCTACAACTTTTGAAAGGGAATGCAACGAATCAGGACAATTGACTGCGACAAATCGAGCTTCATCAGAAACAAGAACAACTGTTCTCGCAACAATAACGAGGAATTGGAGGGGGAAATGCACTACAAGTCGCCGCATCCTTCCTTCCCGACCTGTCGTTATCTGTCGCCACTGGAGACACTATCTCCTCTTTCACCGTCGCCGCCAATGCCTTCTTCTTCTCAGTCGTCGTCAGCTTCTTCCCATCAGCCTTCTTGCCCTCTTTCACATTGTTTTTCTGTGACCCCGCCAAGCCTTCAAGGCATTCTTCTTCTTCTTCAATCTAGCGATTGGGGATCTGAATCACCAATTCGGGAAATAAGGTCTCCTTCTCTAGTCATACTGTTAAGTGGCACCGTTAAAGGGATTGACGAAAGTGGTTATTTTGTGTATATCAAAAGTGGTGGCTATAAGCCTATAACTGTCACAAACGTGAAAGTTGTGACTATAATTGTTACAAACTTGAAAGTTGTGGCTATAAGCCTATAACTGTCACAAAAGTGAAAGTTATGGTTATGAAAGTGTTTTTTTCTTCTTCTTAATCCACGTGGAACTCCAACTCAACACTTTCATTAGTCAAGTCGTACTGTTAAGTGACACCGTTAGAGGGATGGACGGAAGTGACTATTTTGTGTATATTGAAAGTTGTGGCTAGCTATATCTGTCACAAACATGAAAGTTGTGGCTCCAGAGATGCCGCCGCATTGTCGGAACAAAGTTAGACAGCCAGACTCTCTGTGACGAGAGCGGATACGGTGACAACCCACTAAGGGTTTGTCAGATTCACCACTTCATAGCTCATGGATATGTTCTCTCTTTATTGTCTCTTTCTTCTTTTTTCAACTTATTGATTAAGATTAAATGAATGTTATTTTTGGAAGGGAAAAAATTTTACCACATCAAAATCATTCACCCTACCATATAAATAGAAGAAAAAAACCTAACTCCTCCCTCTCTCCCACAGTCATCACCGTCGCAGAGCCCTCCACCGTCGGCGTCGTCGAACCACTTAAATAGAGGAATCGATTGTATAGGATTTAAATTTTAAAAAAATTGTATTTAATATGGGGTTTTAATTCTCAATGTAATTAATACAAAAAAGTAATTAATATATTCTTTTTTTATGCCCAAAATGCCATTGGTTGTCAATTTGACAACCCCTTGAGGGTTATCACCATATCACGTCCCCTCTACAACTGCAGTTTGCAGCCATCCCCCGTCGGGATTAGAGATGGGCAAAAATAAACGTGTATTTTCGTTCGAATTCAACCTAATCGTGTAGGTTAAAATTCAAAGCTTAACGATTTTTAATAGATATGGATAAAACTCAGAACCTGAATATCGTCGGTGATGGATGGGTATAGTTTTTTAACCATCCAATACAAATCCGTTCGATTATACACATGCATTTGTATTTTATTAGGAATTATCATTATTTTTGCGACATATATTTATCATGGGATATAGGTATAATATGTCCCTCTACTATGACGTATTATCAAACATCCCCCTCTACTATTTTTTACATCAAACATGCCCCTATACTTTGAAAAAATTATCAAACATGCCCTTATGTTAAAATTTACACTGAAAAAATTGTCAATCATGGATGAACCGGGATTTAAACGACCCGACATCGGCAAATGGGAGGGAAAATGTCAGTTTTATCCCCCATTTTATTTCTCATGACCTCTTCAAAGTGAAATTATTAGGGATATTTTAGACATTTGTTTCGCCCAAACCAAAGTTCGGCCTTGGTTAACGATTTTTGGATGAAAATTTTAACAAAAGGGCATGTTTGAACATTTTTACAAAGTACAGGGGCATGCTTGATGTAAAATATAGTAGAGGAGAATGTTTGATAAAACGTCATAGTAGAGGGCATATTATACCTATAACTCATTTATCATATATTGATGAAATTGTATTGTGTTTAACTAATTTTTTTCGTTGCCACTTCTCTATATGACTTGATAGATCTTCTCTACTCTTGTTTACTCTGGTGGATAGATGTGACAATTCTCAATCCAATCCACCAATCTGTCCACTTAAATAACTAACTAATCCAAATCCAAATGAAAAATTACAATTTAGTACCTATATTTTTTATATTTTATATTTTATATTTTATATTTTGGTACCTAAAAAATATTTTTTTGCAAAAAGTCCATTGGAAAATTACATTTTGGGTACCCAAAATTTTTTATTATGACATTTTAGTAGCTTAACTTTTCAAAATTTACATTTTGGTCCAACACTTGAATGTTATTTGGATCCATAGATTAATCCACCAATCCATATGATCCAATCCATGAATTCTTTCACTGATCCACTTGATCTATAGATCTACCAATACAATCCATCAATCCATGGATCCAATTGCCACCTCTACCGGTGGGTCTACACTCTCACTCTTCTCTACTTCACTCGAAAACTAGGAGAATAAAGTCTCTTCACTCCTCTCTACTACTCTTTAAAGAAGTCTACCCTCCTCTCTACCCATTCTTGTCTTTTCGTTTTCACTGTTACACCTTCCATTTCGTTGTTCTGTCCTGTACCAGCTACTGCAGCAACTTTCTGGTTTGTAACTGGGGATTATATTTATGAGAAGAAGGTGATGATGCAACCATAGTAGTTAAGCTATGAAAGAAGGGAAGGACTAATTCAATACCATAGTTCTATCATGAAAATATAAACCTGAAGAGCATGATGCAAAAATATGCAGCTTTCCTCGGCTTGGAAGACTCATGCAAGTACAGCTACGATAGCCTTCATTACAGTAAGTGTTTCTGGAATGTGTCATCAGCAGCTCATTCATACATATGGCCAACCATGACAACCCTAGCAATAAAATGAAAAGTGAAAAGCATATACAGTACAGATGCCAGTCTTGTTGCCGATGATTGATTATTGTTCTACGACTACATGTACAAGAAGAATCTGCCCATTAGCTAGACATCGATAGAGCATATTTGTGCTTGAGGTATGCTTTGATGAAGGAGTCCAATTCACCATCCATCACAGAAGTGATATCTGAGGTCTCAAACGCTGTGCGCACGTCTTTGACAAGCTTATAGGGATGGAAGACATAGTTTCTTATCTGCTGTCCCCACTCGGCCTTCACAGCATCTCCCCTTATTTGCTTGATCTCAGAGGCTCTTTGCTCCTCTGCAATCACCAGCAGTTTCGCTTTCAACCGACTAAGCGCTTTGATCTTGTTTGTTAGCTGGGATCTCTCCTCTGCAGGACCAAAGAAACAATGCCTAATCAATTAGAGCTGTAAAAAGCAGGCAGATTAGCGTTTAGGGGAATCTAACATAGATTGGTCCATAGAATACCTACTATTTTATTGCTAAAATAATACCTTCTGGTTCAAGTTCAAAAAAAAAAAAGGCCAAAGTGAAGTTTAAAAGAACGCACCTGTACATTTAACAGAGACACCAGTGGGGATATGGGTAATCCTGACAGCAGTTTCAACTTTATTTACATTCTGCCCACCTTTTCCACCGGCTCTTGTAAAGCTTATTTCCAGGTCCTCTTCAGGTATTTCAACATCGAGTGATTCCTCAGGAAGAAGAGGCATCACTTCCACGCCTGCAAAGCTTGTCTGTGCATTACACAATCACTTGACATTACTTGCTTGGCCTTACAAGTTACAACACGACCTCTGTTCAAAATGACAGGCAGCTTCTACCACAAAAGGAAGAAAAGAGACAGGCAGCCTGTTGAGTGTTGTCTAGCTTTTTCCGGGTTCAACTGCTGGGAGTTCATCTTCAAATCATTTCCTTCTCTGGGTTTTTTAACTTCAAAGTTTCATACGAAATCTTGGTTGTATAAGCAATGCACGACGATTATATTGATTTCCATAATAGTCCAATGACATAATGGAAACTGATTTTCAAAGATTACAGTCAGAAATTAAGGAACACGAACAAACATGACAATATATGCACAAGGAAACGAATTAGGGAAGACCATAAAAACTTGATTCCACCAACACAGAGCATACTGTTGTTGCAGCATTTTGATTCTAGTGGTCCTTGTTCTCACAATGTGCATACTGAAAAATCAGTTTAATGCAGGAAGTGGTCATGGCGTTTGTGATCTACATATGCAACTTTGTTGTCTGTTTCCTCCATAACATATGCTTAAGATCTAATAGTTTTGGAAGACAATCTACTTAAGACTGACAGCCAAAGTCAACTCTACAATATCCTATGTGAGGCAAACAAGAAGGGAATCCAGAAGTTTAGTTACCTGGCGAAGACCTTTAGAGTTGAAAGGAGACTGTCGCACTATCCTGTGTGTTCCTTTCTCCCCAGAGAGATAACCATAAGCATAGCGGCCTTCAACTTCAACCGTGGCAGATTTAATGCCAGCTTCCTCTCCAGGTGATTTTTCAACCACCTTTGTTTTGTATCCTTGAATTTCTCCCCATCTTACATACATCCTAAGAAGCATGTCAGCCCAGTCCTGCACTGGACATCATGAAACATTTTTGCAGAAGAAAATGGGAAAGGAAATTCAGTGCTTACTAGAATCAAACTTCCATCAAGATTTTGCAATTTCTTAGGTCCTATCAAGCAGAGTTATCAAGCCTTTCACTACGAATTTCTTACTTGAGGCTACAGAATCTGAGTTGAGACTACTAGCTAATGCTTCAAAACCCAAGCTATCGGCAGGAAAAATAATAAGCAGGGTATTGAATACGGTTAACCCGAAGATGAACGATGATAGATGATGGTTTTGGCCTCTCTGAAGTCCAGAAATTTTATTCCATCCCACACCAACTGTAGAAGGGAGAAGTCTTTACCTGCGCATCAGTGCCTCCAGCACCAGCTGTGATAGATATAACAGCACCTTCTTTATCATACGGACCAGAAAGCAGTTGAGTCACCTCATACCTATCCAATGCCTTATTTAACTCTTTAACGATAGAGGTAGCTTCTTCAAGGAGTGAAGAATCTATTGAGACCATCTCTTCTGTCAGCTTAATTATAGTTTCTGCATCTTCAACCTGTATCCAGGCCAAAGGATTGTAAGGAGATAATATTGCACGAATTTGAGAAATCATGCTATATTGAGAATTCAGTCAAACAGAAAAGGCAGTGCAGTGAGGTTTAGACCATGGTTTTAAAGTCAGTGAGCGACTTGATATTATCCTTGACATCAGTTAAAGCCAAAAGGGTTTTCTGAGCTTCCGCTCGATCATCCCAAAAGGAGCTATCGGTTGCTTTTGACTCCAAATCAGCGAGCTCTTTTTCCAACTGCTGCAGCCCAGCAGAGGCTCTAATGTCTTCAGCCCGCTCGGAGGCAGCTTCCACTTCTTTTCTTAAGCTGTAAAAGTCTACATGAAAAATACCAACACCGACGTGCATCATCAACTATCAAGTGGTTGTTAAAACTGAGAGCAGAGCTTTCTTACATCATAAGTAAAGGAAGGACTTGTGAGCAGAGAAACCTTCTCCTCAAAGGGCAAAGCAAATATACCTTGAATTGCCCATTCTCTCGTCTCTGTGCCAACTTCCACTGTTGGACCCTCTGGTGCAGCTTGGATAACTGCAATTCATTCCATTCCCATAAAAATTAGAGACGAACAAGGAGAAATCTGCAGAACAGTAGGAGGCGGCAAGAGAAAGATGCGAGTGCTGAAAGCTGTCACCACCATACCGGATTGAAGGAAGCGAGATGGCGCTGATAAAGCGTTCAAAATGGAGGGATTTGAGGAAGAAAGGTATGATCTTTGCGCCAAAAATGTTGGTGGTTTATAGCGAGGGGGAGAGGGTTTGAGGGCTGAACCAAACGAAGTGAAGGAAGAGCGAACCAGGGCCTCCATGGATGGGGATATGGTGCACATGGGAATGGGATGAGAGTCCCCTTCTTCCTGCTGCAGTTTTGGATAGAACTGCAACTGGCAAAGCACAAAAGCAAAGAAATGCAGCAAGCTTGTCAAACCGGTTTACCTGAGTGTGCCGGTTTAGCAAGTGGAATGGTTTAACCGGTGACATATACTGGTTTGTGCTGGTCAATATTACAAATAAAATTATAAATATTCATATTTAAACATGACATTTAACGTCAATACCTAAACATTTATATTTGAATCCAACAAATAACATCAATATTTAACTTTTATACTCATAAAATAAATAATAAAATAATTTTTATCAATTAAATTCTCTAAAATAAGATCATTTTACTTAGAGATTCGTATATCGATCATGCCTATCATACTGGTGGTGTTACGCCAATTTTATGACCGATACCGAGTGAATCCGGTACAACGGTGGCACGCCGGCCGGCGTGACAACCATGGCAGCAAGTGAAGTGAACGCTGTTATGTTCCGTTGGAAGAAAAGGAAAAACGTGAAACAGTTTACGTTTGTTGGGTTTGGGGGTCGGGGGTTGGGGGTTGGGTTGAAATGGGCTTTACGGTTTATAGAATGGGTCGATTGCTGTTCAATGACTGTTTGGAAGATCGGCTATTTGCATTTTGCTCGATTGGTAGAACTTTAAGAGCCCGGGTATCAGTTTTACCTATGTTTGGAACAACTTTTAGAAGTGATTTTCGGTTTCAAAAGCTGAAGCAGGACCAAACACCTCTAAAAGCTCGGCTTTTAAAAAGTCGAAAAGCGCTGTTGTATAACGGAGCTTCTGCGAAAAGCTGTTTTGAAAAACAAGATTATCTTTATCATATTTTAATTTTATTTCAAAAAATATAATTTTTCTTCATTTATATCATTTTAAAAATAAAATAAATTATAAAATCATATTATTTAATATAAAAGAAATCTAACAATATCCATTGTTACTACTTTTTATTGTTTAGAATTTTTATTCATATTTTATATTACAAGTCCTTTATAGTCATTTTACACAACCGCTCATATAAAAAAGCACTTCTAATAGTTTTACAGCCAAACACTAAACTATTTTTTTAAGTACTTATCTAAAAGCTCCAGCCAGAAACTACTTTTGCATAAGCTACCGAAGAGCCAAACTAAGCTTTTATCTAGCGATTAGGGGTATGCAACGAGTTGGTCCATACCTGACCACACCCAACCAAATCAATAATTAGACTGGATCACACCGAACCAGACCAATTCATCCAGTCATCGAGCTTTGAACAGTGCAGTGTGAGACGATCAAGGTGAACCATTGGTTTTGAGGGCTTCAAAGATGGTCCTTCCATTCTACCCAAAAAAAAAAAAAAACATCCTTCCATGGTCGAACTACTTGATTAGTTAGCGTGGCATTTTTGCAGCAAAAACAAACTCCAATCCGTGTTTCATTTTCCTCCCATCTACTGATATAAACCTGTTAACGGTATATGCTGGTGCTGCATTCGCCATAAGTCAATCGCTGGCTGTTAACAGCCACAGACCAACATTCTTTAGCGGCTGCTAGCCTGCTACTGCTGTTAACAAAGGCTTTTCAATATAATCACCGTTCCACAATCAACATTAATTTCGTAGAAACTAAAAAGGAGCAATAGATCACTGTAACAACTCGATGCACTACTGCAATTGGTGTAACTTGTACCGAGTCATGCAACATACTGGCTAAATAGTTCTGCAATTTCAAGCCCAATCTCCAAAGAGTTAACAAACAAAAACCATGAATCACAATGTCATTTCATGGAGCAACAAACAGTAGATAAAACCTCTCTAAAAACTGTCTTTAAGCTCATCTCTTCAAAGGTCTTGCACGCTCAAACCTGCAACACAGTAACAGATATGGATTAGATAAATCACACACAGCACATGCAGCAGGTGGCAAGTACCACATAACCACTTGAATTTTGGTTTTCTAGGGAAAACATGAGTTACCAATGACAGGACAGTGCTATTGGGTTACTAAAACTGAGCGCAGATGTATGTAAAGCAGAGAAAATATAAAGAACTATCGAGACTAGAATAACGAAAGGAAGAGTCCATACCCGGTGGAAGAGATTGCTTCAGCTTATCAGCCTTCTCGTTGTCAAAGACACAGAGGGTGTAGAGGTACTTAGAGCACCGGACCTTGAACTTAACTACATCTTTGCTCCTTTTGATCTTGACAGAGCGTGCATCCTTCCTTCTGGCCGTGAGAAGGAAGTCCTTGATCTCATGAATCTGCTTTGGCTGTTCATCACAACAAGCAACCAGTTAACGCTGTCAAACAATGTTCACTAATCACTAGAACACATCCCACAAAAAGAAAATGTGCCCAAAATACTCCATAACCTACGCACAACAGTCTCCAGATAGACAAGGAACCATTTGCTACCTAATTCTGTTGATCTATTAAACAGCATCAAGTTGCCTAATGCTACCTGCCATTTATCAAAAGCAGCTGCAGAACTTAAAACAGCTAATCATACACAAAATTTAGCTGCCAAATATAACAGAGGCTATTAGTTTCAGGCACATGGCTTGGGATCCAATGGACACCAACCATCATTCTTGTGTATCGTTCCTGTATCAACTACGCATCAAGGTGGACACCAGACTATAGTAGCCAAGAATTTCCTTCGACCCAAAACGAAAACAAGATAAAAATACTGACTTTCTGGGTTTCCAAGGAACTACCACAGTAGGCTACTCGGGTTCTAAATCTGGAGGACGCGAGGAAGGAAGAACACATAAACACAGAGGCGAAGAAAATCGAAGCTATGACAATGCTCTAGCACAAGTAAAGCAAAGTATTCGTAACCCCCAATTGTAATCTCACGTTGAACACACAAATTGCTGTTTGGAGAGAAGATGAAATTAGGGTTTACCATTTTGTTCCGCCAAGCTAAGCTTGTCTTCTTCCTTCCTTCTGAAACGTATTCTTCTGCCCCCTAAAACCATTCAACCGGAGTTTCCCGAGCTTTATATACGGGACGGTGATGCAATGTAAACCCTAGGCAGCAAGTAGAACGCTAATGCGACGACTTCATATGTCGTTTTGTGCCCCCAAGTCCAAAGTCCAAACTGTTGCTGGAATGCCTCTGTTTGGGCCACCAGAGTGGGCTTTCATAATTGGGCCTACTGAAGGGCAAATCTTTTCTACTTATTGGGCTTTCTGTCCCGTAGGCTCCCTTCATAAATCGTTTGTAAATTGAGATTGTTTTTTTTATATTGATACTATACTTATATTGTTTATAATTTTTCGCCAGGGCTCTGTGCCGGGATGGGCGTGACAATTAAGTTAATACAGTTCTATTTTCCATCGTTGACCCTATTGAGTGCCATGTCAATGAATGAGAGTGATTCAATACGAATATGACGGGCAAAAACAATAATTAACAAATACAAATTTCATAACTGGACTCCACTGCATTGTTTATAAGTATAAACAACCATCTAGGGTTGCTCTTTGTGTCTCGTACGATATATTTATTATTTAAAGAATGTGTTGGCTATGTTATAGATACACACTTTATATATATACATAGGCACCCCAGTTTCTACTGATAATAAACCGTGGATTCTGCTATGCCGGGACTGTACCCGTGCCGCACCTTTTTAATTTGAAATTGTCGGTGTTTTTCTTTTTCCTTTAAAAAGTTACCGGTCATTCTTTTGTAAGCGGTATTTCCCATTTCATGATGCTTTGATTTTTTAACGGAGGTTAGTATTTCAATTTTTTGTTCCATTACCATTACAAATTTTAAACCTTAAAAAATGGGGGATCTCTATAGCAGTATTAGTTATACAATGGTTTTTACAGTGAGCACTCTAAAGTTATTAAATGCTAATTGTCAAATTTAAAATCTTGAATAGCTAGAATTATTAAACATAAATGGGTAATTATTATAGGGGTTTAAGTTGGTACTAACCCGTATGGATGGGCAATGGGTGGATTGGGTGGGTTTTAGGGCAAAATTCACCCACCCATTGTTATGGTGGGTGATGATTAATTGACCCACACCCACCCATTTGAACCATTGTGGGTGGATTGGGTGGGAGACAACGGGTGGTGGGTGGGTTTAGCGGATTTGGTTGGTCAACTATTTTTAAATAATAAGATAATTACGAGCCATAAGAATTTGCATAAAACTAGTTGAATATCAATCCTACAAATTGAAAAAATTGATAGCTATCAAATCGTAGTTTATTGCATAATCAAACACCATTTATCTCATTTATGAACTCAAAATATTTTATTGATAGTTCTCATATTTCAAAATAATCAATTTTATGTATAAATCAAGTAAAATTTATAAAATACAATTGTAATTAATCAATCACGATTAATGTTTTGAGATAAGAAAAAAGTGTATTTGATTATAGAATGGACATTAGTGACTTAATATATCATGTGATTTTGCTATTAATAACCCACCCGCCACCCACCCATATTTAGTGGGTGACAAAAACGATGACCCACACCCACCCACCACATCCACCCAAACATATAATGGGTGGGTTATAATCGGGTGGATTCGGAGTACATGAACCAGCCCGGGTTTGACAATTAAATACTTGCCCTATATTGCACCTGGCTAGAGTTAAAAAAAATTGGGCTCTAGTCGGGATTTATTCGCGGTGTAGTTTCGTGCGAGTCATCTTTCTCTGAGAATGAGCCAATTAAGTAGTGAGTTATTGGGGATAATAGAGTCTTTCCACACTAAGTTTGACCAAGAAACCACCTCCCACCTAGGGGGAATGCTATTCCAGACTGTGCTAATACTGAATAGAGCCATTAAAGATCCATCCCATTCAAGTATTCTACCCAATGAGTAGTCTTCACTCTTCACTAGATGAGTGCTAGCAAGAGGCCTCAGTTTACGGATTTTATTCCAAACTCTGATTTTTTTGTTCATACCAAATCGTAAATTTATTCACTTGATTGAATTTAAACACAATTTCACCATTCATTTTTTCGTCAAACAACCTATATGTATCACATAAAACTAAAATATGCTCATGATAAATAAATCAGAAAATAACTTATGATGCAAAATAGTTTATCTTATGTATGACTTTGACTTTGTATAGAACTATGCAAATGGAATAATAATATCAAGTATTCCAAAAAAAAAATCACTCTTACAGAACAATGATGTACACTATAGTCTATATGCAGGGTGCAATATCCATACAGACTAGAATTTCATGACCCATGTTTCACTAATCAATAACTGTTAAGTTTTTAAAGAAAAATGGAAAAGAAAACCGGCAATTACCGATGAAAAAGGGCGGCACGGGTACAGCCACGGCACAGCAGAATCGCACTAATTAAACCATAATAAATATATACATCTTAAGTTTACTAAGCATTTATACATTTAGTTCCCATTTACATAACGTAACGGCAACATTACATAGACTGGAACCTTCAGCAACCACAGACGTGTGCAAATCCCACAAAAATGCAGACAAAATCACAAGAGAGGACAACAGAGACGATATTTATGACCACCAAAGAGCCAACACGGTAGCAACAAATATTCCTTGTCCAGATATGATTGTTCATTGTCGAGCAAAGACCAACTGCAATAACCAATAAGCAAAGCCATAAATTAGAGGAAGCTAACAACAAACAGAAGGAAATAAAAAACAAAGTGCAACAGAACTGTAAGAAGATCAAGGAGCATATCTCAGCAGGGGCTCAGCAATAATATCGGATGATCGAAATCTCCCAAACTTAACCAAAACTCATCAAGACCTCCGAAACCCACACGGGACGGATTTGACGATCACCTCAACCCACCAAAATCCTATCAGCGAACGCAACAAATGTTGTTAGAAAATAGATCAACTGCTACCTTCCGAGTCAAAATGAGACGGAACAAACCCATTCAATAAACAGAGTGAGATAAATCAGTAGAGGGAGAGAGCAATCAACTCAAATAGCTACCAACATCAACTCGTAAACTACCACTGAATGAAACTAACAGAGAGAGGCATATGGAAAAGAATCATACGATATCAAGCAGACCGGTCGATTTAGTTTTCCGCCGAAACCTGCCTGGACCTCTCAAACCCGGCAATGATCGCTTTCACCCTGCAACAACTAAAAAATGACCAGAAGAGTAGAATCAACAAAGAAGATTAGAGAAAGGTATGCAGCGAAAGATGTGTGAGGAGGAAAGATTAAGAGAGAGTGGTATGAGAGCAAAAGAGGAAGAGAGGCGACCAAAAACACTCCAACCATCACGTTACTTCTCTGGCGATGGAAACCAAGCAAAAAAAGCAGGCATAGAGAATTGCGCGGGTTAGGTAAAATGTAAAATGAGTGGGGCAAAATTGAAGGCCTACGTGGTCTCTAACCCACCAAGTAAAACACAAAAATATATCTGCTTCCCACTCAAGTACCATGGAGAAAACCAAAAGCAAAGTACACTGTGCAGAGATGCATCCCACTGATGGAACCCCCACCCCCCTGCGAGGCTCTCCCTTACGTCAAGTACCATCAAAGCTCAAGAAAAAGCAAAATCTCCCTGGCCTTAAACAACGAGAAAAACATAACATCCCAAAGCCTCTCTATATCTGACAGCTCTCTCTGCCTCTGGCAACCCCAAGCCTCTCTTGTATCGATCTTGGGAACCAATCCCAGCGACCCAGCCCCAAGACACATTGATTCGCGCACCTGTGCAGGCTCCAGTCACAATGAGTGCTCTGATGACCAACGCGCGTCAGAATCCCAAACGATCCAACAGACAAACACAGCCAACGATTAGTTCCATCTCAACCAACCCACCAAACTCCTGTCAGAATTCAAAGAGCCCTCACCCAACTCCAGCCCACACATAGACAGCTTCCGGGTTATAACAGTACATTTCGGTCTGTGTGAGCAGTAAAAGCAGTTTGCGTGTGCAGTGTTCGGTTCTGCGGTGGGATTTTATCTTTCAACAATGTAATCATTTTTGTTTCTTTAGCAAATAGAATACATGGATTGTTTTTGTAATATCATGTGACAGAAAGTATTACTCAAAATGAATTATTGTTATATTTCAGCTTTTAGCTGAGATTATTGAGATAGTTGAGTTGATATTCTGTTTTATCACATCTTTTAACTGGTATGACTACACAATCACGTATACCAAACGTTGTATTTTACAATGCCTCGAACTCGAGAATACATGTAAATCATTATACATGTCTTCTCAGCAATATATCTATTTAACAATCGCAACTTCCAAACGACCCCTTGAATGTAAGAAAATTTAGTACTCTTTAAAAAATATTTCACAAAGGAATAAAAAAACAACTAAAAAATTATATGTGATTTATAAAGTAAAAATTACAATTTGCTCGGTAAATAACATTGTTTTAATAGCTAAGAAATGGAGAACTGGGAACCAATTATGTGATGAAAGATTGTCAATCCGGTTTAGCCCGTTGGCCCGGTCAAGCAAGTGGGTTGAGGGTTAATGGCCTGACCGGTTTAGCTCATACATATGGTAAAAGTCATTATATTGTTCATACATTTATAAATTATATAAAATCACATCTAACATTTGAGAAATAACATATAACATTACACCAAAATAGCATGTCGTATTTGAATCCAACATATAGTGAAAATTCACACACTTATATAACATCAATGTTCAACTTAGAATTCCAAAGATTGGGTTATGCGAAAAGAAATACCGAAAAGGCGCATTTCACAAATCAAAGGAAAAATGACGTCGTTGAACTTGCAATCCGATACCTTGCAGCGGGTCGACCCGACGGGTGTGTATGGGACCATTTTTCTCATCGGGTTAGAGTCAAATTGGGCCAACCGGCGGGTTGACCCCACAGGTTGACAGCCTACTAATGGTTGATCGTTAAAGAAAAAATGAATGTGATTTCGTTTTTGGACTTTTTTGAATTTGATTATTAGTTAACTATGAAAGAATCTAATTCGATTTATATTGCTATTGCACCGAATTTTTTTTAAAATATATCGATACGGTTCTAATTTTCATCCCTAAAAATGGAGAACAGGAGAAACAGAGATGGGTCTTGCGGTGTTTATTAAACTACCCATGTGAGAGGAAAAGAAGGGGAAAAGACTCACAATGTGGACGCGAAAGTGTGGAGAGGGGGGGGGGGGGGGGAGACCCTCGTGTAGCCGCTAAAAGGAGAGAGGGGAGGGACACACCGCCAGGCGCTAAGCCGCACACGCGAGAAGGGGCAGTGGTCGCGTATATGTCTTCTTCTTTTTTCTTGTTATTTTTTGTTTGTTTTTATTATTTTTGTCACAACGGATAGAATAGGCCAATGACTATTTTCCATGACCATTTTTCAACACTTCTCACATTCTCTTCCTACCATCCAAACCAAACCATTTTTTGAGGCTCAAAGCTTTCACCAAAGAGAACACCTATGTTCTTGAAATTAATTGTTTAACAAATATTGGGTTAATATCATTGTCCTTGTTTCTCCCACAAGATGGTATTTAGGCCTTCAAGGTATTTAGCCTTTGTGAGATAACTGGTAGATGGGGAGGCGTTAATGATGTTGGAAGATTCAATAATTTCCAGATCAGGTACTGGCAAAATGGTTAATGAAGTAGGTGAAGGGAGCCCAAGGTGGACATATATAGTCACTGCTCTTAAAAGGACAACTCCATAGCTACTCAGATGAATTATTCTTCTTCGTTAGCAACTTTGAGGAGGATGAGAAAACACCTTCATTCAAGGATGGATATGGAGATCTAGATCTATAGTTTGAAATTTTAAAGAGGAAATTATAGACATTAATCGGTCGATATATCTAGTTATTTCATATTTGTGACCGTCGTCGTCATAGTTTCTGTCTCTTTCAATATACGGTGAGACACCCTGTCTCTTAATATGGTGACAGGAGTCAAATTTATCATCGTCATATTTGTCTCTCTTTATTGTTACTATTGTTGTCTACGAGGCTGCGATGGCATGAACGTTATCTGCATCACCAGCATTGTCGTTAAGCTTGAGCAGGGGTATTTCAAAATTACCTTCATTTTTCTAGTCATTTTTATAATCATCAAATATAAAATTTAATTTGAGAGGAGCCCCTTTATCATCCTGTATAAATGCGCTATTGTTTTGTACGGATATGGTAGAAGGGCGCATCTAATCCTTGTTTGCCTATTAGGGGTCGTTTGGAGAATTGGAGTCTAAATCCATAGATTCTAAACAATCCGAAGTTTCTAACTCTACGAATTTTTAAAAAAATATTTCAAAATTTTCATTGTTTGGTAATTGAGATTTGGAACATTTAATGAAAAATAAGAATTCTAATTTTGCACAAAATTACATATTTATCCTTAACCAACAAATGGGGAAAAAAATATTCACAATTTTTTTTTTCTCAATACGTTTATCCTAGCCAACTATTGTCTTTTCAAATGAAACATGTGCCTAATTACCCTAACATCCAATAACAAAAAATGACATAATATAAAAAATTGCAGTAGGGGGAAACCATTGTTGCAAGCTTCATAAAATGGGAAATACTACTTCTCAACAAGCTGTAGTCCTTTTGTCTGTGGATTATAAAAATAAAAGAAGGAAACTAATGGTTCATCCCACTCATAGCAACATAGTCAACTGAAACAGCACACCCGAGTCATAATATAGGCCACAATTCAATCAGTGAGTTCAAGGAGAAAGGTCAATTGATCATCTTCTGTTGGGAGCTGATAATAAAGATCTGTAAGTGTAACATCCTTCACATTACCATGTCAGCTTTTATAGCTTGCTTTCTTTTAGTTTCACTGCAGAATAGGCAGCAACGAGTGTATAGATTTTGCAGGAGGGAAGTTGAACGATGCTGCTTCTGTTTACCGCTGTTTTGAGGAGTGGAGGGAAGTCCAAAATTAGAAGATATATATAGAAGATGTAACCGGTGGAATAAAAAAAAGGATATATTTGGAAAAGAATTATCTCTCAAATCAAGATACAAAATCTCTATAATTATCAGAGATTTGAAATCTTCAAAGTTAGAATCCACGAGAAAAAATTACCAAAAAAACATGAGTTTTTAATAAATCTACGGATACTATAAATTAATGGCTCAAATCCTTTTTTCCAAAGGACCCCATAGTTCTTAGTTGTTCTCATCATGATGAGTGATTGGATATAGGGCTGGAAGTTTGGTACGGTATTTGGGATATGACGAGTACCATACCAAATTTGTCGATATTTGGTATTATCGATTTCATCTATTATTTTATGAGAATGGAATTGAGATTGAATTTCAAAAATAATTGGTATTAGAGATTACAGGATTGAGATCGGTGTATACCAAAATAGCAATTAATATTAAAATATAAGTTAATGTGTATTTTATCCCTCACAACTAGGCTCCCTCAATCGCCAATATGGTCACTTAATTATACATAGCTAATTACCTCACTATTTAACAACTCAAACTAAGCTCATTTTATTATATTTGTATTATGTTTATGGGTTGGTTAGTTGTCCCCTGTTTTAGTTTGTTGTTATTATACTTAAGATTTTTTTCCATTTGTTTTACACTGAGTGTGACACCATTGTTTCTTTTTATATATTTTGAGAATGGTTTGTGGAGCTAATATTTGCATTTGTATATTTGATTTGTAATGTTGAAATTAATATAGCATTTGATGTATACTGATACCGAATAAAGTTTTAGAGATTGAGATTGAGTTTAGGGCACCGTTTGGTATTTGAGATTTCGTTATTGGGTATTGATAATTTGAGATACCAGTACCGTACCGATTTCCACCTTAGCGGGACAACTTCATTGGATATTGTTTATGCCCGGAAGCCTTCTTCCTTCCGCTCCGCGCTCCGACCTCCAACACGCCTCTTGTCACGCGCCTGCCTTCACTCACAAGCGCCTAGTGGACCGGACAGGTCCGTTAGCACTCCGACGCCCAAGCGATCACCCTTCGTTTTAGAGAGAGAAGTAGAGAACAGTTCTAGTAAGAGAAGCAAAATTGAGTATATTAGGTTTACCTACTTCACTATTTATACCCGGGACGAGATCGACCGGTATCTGTCACTCTCGCCCTGTGTCAGGTCCGCCATAAATGCGTCGTACAACCCTTGCGCATGCGCCTCGACCACTTGACACTCCAGTCAGAGGTTCGCGGCGCAAGACATCATGCGATCAGCTTTTCGTACACTTCCGACCGTTGGTGTCTTTTTTCCCATGCGCCTCTTGCCAGGTGTCCGGTCCCACCTGTGATATGATCCCAAATTGCCAACCATTCACGTCACAATTACTTGACAAAGAAGCCATCAAAGTTGGGAAGAAGAAGGGCAGAATTTGGCTAAGTCAAAATCCATGTTCAGGGTACATACTTTGGAGGCATGGTTCTCTCAATTTGCTTGGTGGAAATTCAAGTTTCAGCAATCAAATACAAGTGTTTACAAGTTGAAGTGAACGTTTTGCTTATTCGCTCCTTTGAGGATTCGGGAGGTTTGAGTGGTCTCTTATCAACTAGAGAACGCGTCTAGTTGTGGCGAGCATCGACGATATCGATTGGCCTCTTCCACGGGTTCGAGATTGTTTGGAAGGTTTCATATACCTTCTGGCCCTTCTCACGAGTTCGGATTTGTTTGATCGATTCCGCAAGTATCTGTATTTTCGAGTTCAAGAAAATCAAGAAAATCAAGAAAATCAAGAAAATCAAGGAATCAAGAAAATCAAGAAAGATCGTTTTCAAGAAAATCAAGAAAAGATCGTTGGAGCTGCGTACTTTGGTCTTATAATCCGAGTTCGAGGGTTATCTTTGGATTAGGATCATATCAACCTGTCTCACGCATCACCCTGGCCGTTTGGGCCCTTCTCCGCGCGCCTATCAGCCCAAGGTTCTTGCCCCCATGGGCTTCTTTAGGTTTCTCCAGTTGGGCCCAAGTCTGTGCCCATCTAACAATCTTCTTTGGGCCTTCCCTTTTGGGTCGATCTCTGGCCCATACTTATTCCCCCAACAATTGCCCCCCAGTTAAGCGCCTAACACCCACAGTTAGGGCCCTAACTACATTCGTCCTCCTCTCCGTGTCACTGCCTGCCTTTGTGCACCTCCCTGATTGGGGCTTAAGCGACCCTCTTTTCTTCACTAGGCACGGGCCTTGCGCTCTCTCTGGTGCTCCGTCCGCTCTCGATGTCACCCTCGGGTTCATGCGCCTCTCTCGATGCGAGTCGACATGCGTGCCCTCTTTCCCCGTACCACTGAGCACTCGTCCTACATACGCTTTTCTTCTTGCTTCTCCCTTATATCCTTTTTCTTTTTATTATCTATATTCTTTTCTCCCTCCTATTTATACATTTATATATATATTTTTCCTTCCTTTTTTTTCCTTTTGCGACTGTTCCACTTCTTCCTTTCTTTTTGTGTCGCCGTGCCTCCTGCGATTCCCACTATCTCTCTCCCCCCAATCCCCTTTTGATTCAAAATTCAAATTTCGAAATCAGGAGCGGATTGGTGAGGCCTCTTCGCCTTCCCCCCCTCTCTCTCCCTCTCGCCTGGCCCTCCTTATAAATCCCCCCTTCCTCCTTCACAGTCCTCACAACTCGCTATCATCTTCTCTCTACTTCCTCTCTCTAGCCGTTGATCCTCTCAACTGCTCTTGAACCGCTCTGCTTCGTGCGCCCCCAAGCTCGCTATGACTTCTTCTCGGCAAATCCCTCTCCCGTCCAACTCTCCTGTGCCTTCCACTGAATCGATCGCCGCCAACCGCGGATCCCCTTCTCCTACCGCGGATGCGCCTCCCACATCTCCCGCGCCTTCTGGATCACATTCACAGGCGTTTGCCGAAGGCCAGGCCACAAACGCCCCTGCCGCTCCCAGTAAGTCCCTCTACCGCTGTGCACCTTGTCTCTTGTTGTTATGTTGCCTTCTCCCGTCTTATTCAAAACCTCCTCTCGATGCGGATATAGGGTTCATGCGCCCCCAAACACCTCTCTACCTTTTTTTTTGTGAGCACTGCGCCTCCTTTTCCACCCCTTTGCCTTACCCCTTGCCCCTTCCTTTGACTCAGGCGCCTCTGTGCTTCAGAACTACATGTTCCGGGCGTGGGACTCAATGTGGCCTCCTGGCTATGCGCCCCAGAACACTTCGAGGATGCCCGTGGAAGATGTCGGCTCGCATCATGCCTCGAAATAGTTAGGGGCGTGGCTGGAAAACTCGTCGTGTGCGCAACTACCCGCGCCTTGGCGGTACATCCATGCGCCTCCAGAGGCTCGGATTGGCTTGTGCGGCGAGGGTTGGGTGGGCCTGTACCAGGAGTTCATCTAGTTCGGCCTGCGCTTCCCTATTGAGCCTGTCCTCGAAGGCGTCATGACCTCCTGCCACTGCCCCCTTGCTCGCCTCTCCCCCCGTTATCTTATACACAATTGTTTTTCACTACCAGTGCCAAATACACCACGTTCCCCCACCTTTAAACTTATTAAACACTTTTTCAAAATGACCAAGAGTTCCAACTGCTTGAGTTTGCAAAGGCGCACGACGCTAGGGTACGGATTCATCAGCAGCTGCGTGAAGATGGGGCGGATGTGGTTTGACTCGTTCTTCTTCGTCAAACCGCGCGAAGTTCCCTTCTTTGAGAGCGGGCACCCTGTGAGCTCGCTATGGTCCCTGGGAATCGCTTCGCCTTTAACAAGGTGGAGCCCCTTAGCCAGACCGAGGAGGTCATGGCTAAGTGCATATCCGCCCAGCCTATTGACCTCGAGTTAGGAGAAGAATACGCTCGCGTTCTCGCCGAATTCTATGGCGATGGTACTAGCCTTTTTGTTACCTGTGCGTCTCACTGATGTTGTGGTTTGTTGCTCTCATGCGCTTTTGTTCTTTTCTATGATGCAGAGACCGATTTTACCTCGGTGACCAATCTGATAAGGTCGAAGCTCGACCTTCTCCGGAATGTGAATGCTGGTCGCCCCGCCCCTACCGACTAGGCGTCGCGGCCGAAGAGGGTGTATCCCAAAAGGGTGTCAGTGCACAACGACCGCAGGTGCCTCATCAGCGCGGCGCCTCCCCTTTATCAGCCGGTTCAGCAGGTGAGGCGGCCAACCATGTCTGGCCGCACTTAGAGCGTCGCGCCTCATCTGCCTCGACTCCATCCTCCACCTCCACGCCTCGGGAAACTCTCGGGGTGAGCACTCCTACTTCCCCTTCTTCCGCCGCGTCTCGGAAGAGGGCGGGTGGTACCTTGAGCGGTCAGGAGAAGAAATCCAAGACTGCCACTACAAGCGGGGCCGGTCTACCGCCGAGCTTTGTGGAGCCCACGATTGGGGAGCACACTGGCCAGGTGATTCCTCCCTACTTTCAGTCCAGGCTCTCTCTCGTCAAGGTGCCAGTGGACGTTCTCGTCAAGGCGGCCAAGGAAGTCCCTGCGTCTGTACAGATGGCGAGGTTGCATTACGATGTGGTGGAGCATCCGGAGGGCCTGATCTCTGCTAAGCCCTGGTTGAAGCTGACCAACATGAGTTCTGTGTGCTTACGCGCCTCAGATGATGCTCCTCTGCGAGGCCACCACACGAGAAATCGCCAAGATTGTGCAAGAGGGCACGAACGCCTCAATCTCTGGCGAGCGCATGCGGGCAGACCTGGACTCCGCCAAGTCCGACTTGGAGAGAAGTTGGCGGCCGAGCGCCTCAAGATTCGCGCGGAGGTGGAGGAGGAGGTCAAGGCGCAGGCTGAGGCAGATAGGGCCGAGTGGGAGGGAGTGAAGAAGGAGCTCCGGGTTGGGAATGCCACTCACGCGGGAGCTTGACGCTCTATTAGAGGAGAAGGGCGTGCTCCACCAGACCATTGACGACCTGGTAGAGGTCAACAAGAAGCTCAAAAAGTCCCAGATGCATTACAAGCATGAGCTGAAGAGGTCACAAACTGTCGTGGACCAGCTGAACTAGGACTTAGCCAATTATCCGGACTCGGACGCCGGCAAGGATCTTCAAGCCAACATGGTGATCAACACCGTGGAGGCGCTCAGGGCCAAATTCCACGTCGACTATCCAGATGTGGTATTCGACACAATTGCTCTTATTGAGTATGTTGTGTCCACCATGGAAAATCAGTCGGGCGCCTCGGGAGCTGCCGCCTCGGTCGGAGATGGTGCGGAGGTGGGTGCCGGTGGTGCTTCGCTTGCGGACGGTGCTGCGCCCATCGATGGAGGAGGCGGGGAAGATGTGAAAGTGGAGGCGGATGATGAGGGCGTTTTACACCTGCCTTGGTGGCCGTTAAATTATTGAACATTCGATGAATTTTCTTTTTGGCGCATGTAGTTAGGGCGCTTTGCACTTGCCTTCATACCTTTGCTATCCTAACAAGTTTCTCGTAAGCGCCTGTGATTAGGGCGCTTTATGACTTAAACTTCACCAACATGGGGCGCCATGGGACTAGGGCGTTTTACCTCTGCCTGGGTGGTTGTTAAATTGTTGGACCTTCGATGAATTTTCTTTTGGGCGCATGTAGTTAGGGCGCTTTACACTCGCTTGGTGGCTGTTAAATCAGTGGAGTTTCGATGAATTTTTATTTTGGGCGGATGTAGTTTGGGCGCTTTACACTTGCCTTAAATTTCATAACCATAAATTTTATTTTGGGCGGATGTAGTTTACAATTGGGAGGGAGCCTTCGGAATTATTACCCATAAACATAGGGCGCAATTGGGAGGGCGCTTTTGGAATTACTATTTAAATAAGAGTATGGGCGCAACATAGTTAGGGCGCTTTACATTCTTGAAGTCCTTGTCTACCCCCCCTACGCAAAAACACGCACCATAGAAGGTTGCGACACACCTCCCACAAAAACATCCGTGTCTGCCTCCTCCTAACGCGCAAACCTACTCCAGCAGCGTCTCTTCGTCCTCTTTGCCGTGGTAAACTCGGAGATTCTGCGCATTCCACGTACGTTTGATGATCTTGCTTCCCATGCGTTCTAGCTTGACCGTGGCAGGCCCCACCGCCTCGCGGACACGATAAGGCCCCTTCCACTTGGGCGCGAGCTTTCCATCACTGACTTTAGTCCTGAAGTCCCTTTTCAACACCAGGCTCCCACACTTTATCTGGTGAGGGCGCATCTTCTGGTTGTAATACCTGGCAACTTGCCGCGTCATAGCTTCCAAGAGGATGGAGGCAACGTCACGCCGTTCCTCGAACATGTCCAGGTCGTGTATGCGCTCCCCCTCGTGAGCCTGCGCCTCATAGTTTGCCAGCCTGAAAGTGGGCATGCGCAGTTCCACCTGGATGACCGCCTCGCTTCCATATGTGAGCGCGAATGGGGACTCCCCCGTTGCCACTTTGTATGTCGTCCGATGCGCCCATAGCACGCTCGGGAGTTCCTCGACCCACCTGCCCTTTGCTTCTAGAAGCCTCGTGTGTAGCCCATGCAGTATGCTCTTGTTGGCAGCTTCTACCTGTCCATTCGCTTGGGGGTATGCCATTGATGAGAAGTGCAATATCACCCCATTCTCATCACAAAAGTCTATAAACTGCTTACAATCGAATTGCTTTCCATGATCGGTTACTATTGCTTCTGGTAGTCCAAATCGGGTAAAGATGTTCCTGTTTGTGAACCGGCGCACCTACACCTGCGTGATGGATGCGAGGGGCTCAGCTTTGATCCACTTGGAGAAATAGCCTACTGCCACTATGAGGTACTTCATCTGTCCGGGCGCTTTGGGAAATGGTCCCAATAAGTCTATACCACATTCCCCGCATAGGTGCCGCAGGAACGTGAATATCATTAGCATGTATCTGACATTGGTGCCAAGTGGCAACATGCTCCGACGCATCTGCCCGGATGGTTGGCCAGTAGTATCCCTGCCTCAATAGGATTTTCTCTAGGCTGCGTGCCCCCGCATGCATGCCACACGCTCCTTGATGGACCTCCTCAATCGTCTGTTTCCCTTCCACCTTGGTGAGGCATCTTAGGAAGACACCCGAGTGTGACCGCTTGTACATCTGGCTGTTGATTATCGTGCAACGCGCAGCTTTGTGCCTCACTTGCCATGCCTCCCTGTCGTTTTCCGGGAGGACCCCTTGCACTAAGTACGCTCTGATTGGAGCCATCCAACTTCCTTCTCCCTTGCATCTTCGGTGATCGCCCCTATAATGGGCTCACGCACGGTGTGTTCCTTGGTGACGATGACTTGCCTATCCTCGTCGAAGTCGGTTGCTGTGGCAAGTTTAGAGAGGGCATCCGCATGAGTATTTTCTTCACTGGGAACATGGAGGAATTCCACTCTCTTAAACCATGCGCTCTTGGCCTTGACCATAGTGACGTAGGCGTTCAGAGCTTCCTCCTTGACCTCGTACACCCTGTTCAGCTGATTTACCACCAAGGCGGAGTCCGACCGGAACTGGATTTTCTGTGCCCCGAGTTCCCGGGCCGTGTGAAGCCCTGCGATCACTGCTTCGTACTCCGCTGCATTGTTGGTTTTTAGGGTTGAAAAGCACAGGGCTAACTCGTGCATTGCCCTCAGAGGGCTCACTACTACCACTCCTGCTCCAGCGCCCGTCCTACTGGCCGCGCCGTCCACATAGACTTGCCAAACTTCTTCCGCTACTACTCCCGCGCACACCACCCTTTCAGCTACGAACTCCGCCAAGACCTGCGCCTTTATCGTAGGGCGGGGCGCATAACTTATGTTATACTCGCTCAGTTGCACTGCCCACTTGGCCATGGGCCCTGCCACATCCATGGACCCCAACGTGCTTCTTAACAGAAGGTTCGTGAGGATCGTCACCGGATGCTCCTGGAAGTAAGGACGCAACTTCTCTGTCACCGTAACAACTGCGAGCCCTGCTTTCTCAATGGGCGCATAGCGCGTCTCGGCTTCCGCCATTACTTTGCTCACGTAGTACACCAGCCTCTCCTCCTCATTCTCTCCTTCCTTGGAGACAAGTACCGCGCTCACGGCCATCCTGGAAACTGCGATGTATAGATAGAGCACTTCTCCCTTCTTCGGGGCGGTCATCACTGTAGGCGCTGTTAGCAGGGTCTTTAACTGTTCAAAGGCCTCATCACATTCCTCTATCCACTTGAACCGTTCGGCCTTCTTTAGTACACGGAAGAAGGGTGCATCCTTGTCCGCCGAGCGGAGTATGAAGCGCCCCAACGCGGTCAGTCGCCCGTCAGACTTTGTACTTCGTTAGGCGTGCGTGGGGGTTGGAGGCGCCTGATCGCATCTACTTGCTTGGGTTTGGCCTCGATGCCGCGCTTAATGATCATAAACCCCAAGAATTTCTCAACTTCCGCCCCGAAGACGCACTTCAGGGGGTTGAGGCGCATGGCATGGGCTCTTAAAGCTTGGAAGGTCGCACGCAGGTCCGTCAAATGATCCCCCCTGCGCTTGCTCTTGACTACCAAGTCATCCATGTAAGCCTCCACGTTTTGCCGATCTGATGTTGGAATATCTTGTTCACCATGCGCTGGTACGTGGCTCCCGCGTTTTTCAACCCGAATGACATCACTTTGTAGCGATAGTTCCCGAACGGGGTCATGAATGTTGTCATGTCCCTATCCTCTTCACACATGGGTATCTGGTGGTAACCCAAAAACATATCTAGAAAGCTGAGCGCCTCATGGTATGCAGTTGCATCCACCAGCTGGTCGATCCTCGGCATGGGGTAGGCGTCTGAGGGGCAAACTCGATTAAGGCTGGTGTAATCCATGCACATCCTCCACTCCCCGAACGCCTTAGGCACTAAGACGACGTTGGACAGCCAAGTTGTGTACTTGGCCTCCTCCACGAACCCTGCCTCTCGCAACTTATCCAACTCTTTTCTCAGTGTCTCCTCCTTCTCCAATGAGATTGGGTGCCTCTTCTGCTGGATGGGGTGCACGCCCTTTGCTATGGCGAGGCGATGCTCCGCAATTTCTACCCTCACTCCGGGCATCTCTTTCGCGCTCCACGCGAACAAGTCTGCAAATTCATTCAACAGATGGATCAGGGGTCCCAATTCTTCATCCGCCGTGTGTGTCGAAATGCGAACGCATCGGTCGGGGCGCAGATCATCAAGTGGCACGTGGATTTCCTCATCCGTCGCCTCGGCCCTTGGCAAGTCCTCAAGGCGCACATCGATATTGTACATTCGGATTCTTTTGGCGAGTCGCGCCTCCGCGGATGCCTCGCCTCTTGATATCCCAATGCCCTAAAGGTAACAAACTTAGTGTCTGATGGTAGGACGAGGCCACCCCGTTGAAGAGGGCCAGCAAGGGGCGCCCTAAGATCGCGCTATACGGTGAGGGGCAGTCGACTATACCAAAGTCCACCATATGCGTAACACGATACGTCTCGTCGCCCAATGTTACCGGGAGGCGCACTCGCCCGAGCACCTGAGCCGGCGCCCCCGAGAATCCAATCAGCACTGTGTCCGCCGGCTTCACTATGCTAGGCGCCAATTGCATTTTTTCAAACGTGGACAAAAACAACATGTCCATCGAACTTCCCGTGTCAACCAGCATCCTCTTGACTTCGCATCCGACTACCACAACCCGGATCTCCAGCTCCTCCGTGGAAGGCGTCCGGCATGCCTCTTCGAGCACATCGTTGAAGCGTATTTGAATGGCTTCTCTTGCGCTTGCAGTAGCCGATTTCAGTCGCCTCCGCTCCTCTAGCTTCTGCCTCAAGTCTATGGAGCCGGTGATGGCTTCAATGGTCAGTCTCACTCGGTTTGGATTGGCCTCTTGTTCCACATTAAACGGGGGCGGCGGTTGGGTGGCTTCCTCCTTCAGGCGAGTGTCCACCGGCTCGTGCTCTGCGTTGGGCACCTTCACTTGTGCTTCTTGTGCCATGAACGTTCGCTGCGCCCTCTCGTCCCATTTCTTTACAAATTCGTTTAGCATATCTCTGTCCACCAACCCCTGGATCTTGGATTTCAGCTGATAGCAGTCCGCGGTGTGATGTCCCCGCTCCCGATGGAATTCGCAATACCTATCGAGGTTTTGCTCGTTTGGGCGCCCCCTCATGGGACCGGGCCACCTCAGGTGGTACCTTTTGTCCTTCGCATATTGCAGCACGTTTTTCAGGGTGTCATTGAGCTCTGTGAAGTTTCCTGCGCTCTTCGGTACGGGCGTGGGGTTCTCCATCCTGCGCGCATGGAACACATTGGAGGTCGCGGTCGGTACGCTGGCCGCGGGCACGCGGTAACCCTTGCCTTCCTCAGCTTTGCCCTTGCACCTGTCGAATCGACGGCCCGCAAGCGTTTCCTCCAGCATGATGACCTTCTGTACCCTTCTGTTGAGGTCTTCGGTGGACGTCACATCCGTCTTGAAAAGCGCCCGACACAGCTCTTCATTATTCGTGCATTCGTCCAGGCAACATCCCAAGACGGGGGGCTTGACATCCTTTACCGCCATGACCACCGACATCCATCGCTCGTAAAACTCCCTTAGTGGTTTGTTTTCCTTCTGGCGGACCTTGAACAAGGCGCTTATGGTGAGGGTCCTACGCTTCCAGCTCGCGAATTTTGACAGGAACAGGGAAGCGAAGTGTTCGAACAATTGATCCGCCCTTCCTCTAGCTGATGGTACCAATCTAACACTACTCCTGTGAACATGGAGGGGAACGCACGGCACATCATGGCGTCCGTGCTGCTGTATAACTGCATCTTCGTTAAATAATTGTTCAGGTGGTCTTCCGGGTCCGTCGTACCATCATAGCTTGGCAGGGCGAGTATAACTGAGCTTGGATGCTCAGCAAGGATGCTCATGGCCAAAGGCTGCCGAACTCCCCAACCTCTCCCGACATGCCTTTGCGCCCAACCATAGTAGTCATCATAGTAAGATTCCAGGTGTCGGGTCAAGTGCCCTAGTTCTTCCATGCGCCTCGCGAGGCTTGACGCCCCTTCACCCTCTTCATCTCGCTCCCTTCTCTTCGACCCAGGCGTGGGCATGTCGCCTCCTCCCTTCTTGAGCGCCTCTACCTATTTCTTCAAGATTTCAAGGGCGTGATCTTGACTTTCGATGATGTGAAGCAACTCCTCCTTTGTGAGTTGGGCGCCCTCCGTCTGGGTGCTCTCCTTGACCCTCGAGGCCACCCTTCCGTCATGCTCTTCCACCTCCTTGGCCCCTTCCGTCCCACGCTCTTGCGGTTCGACGCCACCTTCCTTCTCACATGATCCAAGATCCTCCATGCGTCTTGTCGGTTATATTCTCCTATCTGGCGCGCCAATTGTTTATGCCTGGAATCCTTCTTCTTTCCGCTCCGCGCTCCGACCTCCAACACGCCTCTTGTCACGCGCATGCCTGCACTCACAAGCGCCTAGTGGACCGGGCAGGTCCGTTAGCACTCAGACGCCCAAGTGAGAACCCTTCGTTTTAGAGAGAGAAGTAGAGAACAGTTCTAGTAAGAGAAGCAAAACTGGGTAAATGAGGTTTACCTACTTCATTATTTATACCCGGGGCGAGATCGACCGGTATCCGTCACTCTCGCCCTGTGTCAGGTTCGCCATAAATGCGCCGTACAACCCTTGCGCATGCGCCTCGACCACCTGACACTCCAGTCAGAGGTTCGAGGCGCATGACATCATGCGATCAGCTTTTCGTACACTTCTGACCGTTGGTGTCTTTTGTCCCATGCGCCTCTTGCCAGGTGTCCGGTCCCACCTGTCTCATGCGCCACCCTGGCCGTTTGGGCCCTTCACCGCGCGCCTATCAGCCTAAGGTTCTTGCCCCGGTGGGCTTCTTTAGGTTTCTCCAGTTGGGCCCAAGTCTGTTCCCATCTAACAATCTTCTTTGGGCCTTTCCTTTTGGGTCGATCTCTGGCCCATACTTATTCCCCCAATAGATATACAACATACATGACAAAAAATCATATAATTCAAATTATTTTAATTTTAAAATGAAAGAAATCACTAAACTAAATAACTTTGAATCCATAAATCACATGCACCATTTAATTTACAATATTACTAACAATAATTGTTCACAAATAACATAAATACTAAACTAAAAGGGTAATGCCTATTTTTTTATCCAAACCTGTTTCATATTCTTTTATATTATCCAAACCTATTAAAATGTTATTAATTAGCCAAATCTTTCATAATGTATCAAAATATTAGTCATTTTTATGTTATCTTTAATAATTTTGTAACTCTTTTCTTAATTAAAATATAAAATTTTAGAATTTTGACCTTCATGTGTCTCTTCCAAGTCAGTATCATGTTGCCAAGTCAATATTACTAATAAAATTGCTAACTGGAAGTTAACATTTGATTAATTCTTAGTATTTCGATAGATTTGATTAATATAAAAAATCCAAAAAAGATTTGTCTAATAAATAGTCATTAGTCATTACCCAACTAAAAAACATAGCCTAACTCTTGTCAAGTAATAACCAAATATAAAAATGAAATGAATGTTCATCATAAAACCAACTAATTTGTCGAAGTGAACAATCACTCATCCCAATCTGACTAATTGTCATCTTCAATCCACAATATGTGACTAGACACTCCTCCTCAAACCAAACAATAAAATAAATCAAAGTAGTATATAAACAACAATAATTAATAAGGAATCATATTATGTATTTTTTATGGGACCTCCTATGTTAACTTGGGTATAATTTTAAGTTAGATAACTTTTATAGATCTAAACCGTTAAGATCGATCAAACTTATTTTAAACCATTGATTAAAAAAATAAAAAAATAAGTAAAAAAATCAATGACAACCCATGTTGCCGGTCACCACCCTCACAACTTACCTTTCTTGTTTTTTTCCTTTCCTTTTTCATATTTATTTGTTTTTCCTTATTTTATCCTTTCCTTATCTAAATTGTTATTGAAGTAGAAGCGTTACGTAAATCTTCCGTAATAACTTAGCACTTTACGTAACGTGAGATTAATACTCATTACGTGAAGAGCCCTTCTATTACGTAAAGGTTACGGAACGAAAGTTATTTCTTACGTGATAGTGAAATCGGAAGCGTTACGTAAAGCTTCCGTAATGACTTAACTCTTTACGTAACACGACATTAATACTCATTACGTAAAGAGACATTCCATTACGTAAGGCTTCCGTAATGACATTTTACAACTGTTACGTAAAATACATATTCATTACGTAAAAGTTACGGAACGATAGTTATTACTTACGTAACAGTTAAATCGGAAGCGTTACGTAAGGCTTCCGTAATGACCTAACACTTTATGTAACGCGAGGTTAATACTCATTACGTAAAAGACCTTCCATGACGTAAAGGTTACGGAACAATATTTATTTCTTACGTAACAGTTAAATCAGTAGCGTTACGTAAGGCTTCCGTAATGACTTAGCATTTTACGTAACTCGAGGTTAATACTCATTACGTAAAGTCACATTCTATTACATAAGACTTCCGCAATGATCTTTTACAACTGTTACATTAGATTATCATATATTATGTAACCATTACGTAATGCCTATTGTATTTTACGTAATACGACCTGTGAAACCTGCCATAGCAGGTAAAAGAATTCAAGTTACCTTACTTCAAATTATTGTAGGAAATCTCATTTATATATATTATGTATTTAACAAGTATATTATGTACTACCAAGCATTATCTTATGATATGGATTGATAATAAATGTACTACCAAGCATTACCTTACTTCTACTATGCTATATAGCATTGGTGCTTTAATGTACAACTTGAAGTTGTACCATAACATTAAATGTGTAAGTTTAGGTTGTACCATAAAGGAATTTGTATCATTATGTTATGGTACAACTAAACAACTTAAGGTTGTACCATCACATAAGGTACAAGTTAAGTTGTACCATAAAAGAATTTGTACAAAAAGTATAGGTACAATCTAAAGTTGTACCATAACGTTAAGGTACAATTTCAAGTTGTACCATAAAGGCAAAAACCTATAGCACCAATACTATATAGCATTGTAAAATTCCTCCTCAAATAATCTAATAAATTTTATGTAAAATATTGCAGTTACGACTAGAAGAACTTAAATGAAATCGAGAAGAAATTAATTACTTCCCGTAAATGATAAGTAGGGATTAAGGCAAGGTTATACGCATGTAATTTATGCACCGTATTTATTCCCACATTTACTCATGTGAATGCGATTGATTTGGATAGTTGCGGGGTTTAGTGAGTCAGCTGATGAGCGCCGCATTGATAGGGCTCAAGATAGGGTGCATAACCATGGGTTATGCATCCATCAATAACCAAATCTGGAGTTATCATTTAGAAAATCTAGATCTAAAGATGGAGAATTAAAGGTTATTTTTATTTTCTCTAGTTTTTTTAATCGGCTCATATCTTTTTCGTTTTAACTCTAATTTTAATTTTTTTTGCACAGATGTAACGAGTTCATCTTGCTCTACAAAATGAGATCAATTTTCAATATTTTTTTAGAAAAAAAATTCTGGCCTCTCGGTACCAACTGCTAACCATATGGTATTTTCTTCGTTTTTAATTCATTTTTGAAAACGTTTGCACAGAAGGGACGAGTTCATCGTGATCTATTGGATCTACAAATTTCTGGGTGAACAAATTACATGACAAAAAAATACCAAAAAATACCATACGATACCACCCTGGTACGGGGTGGTATATTATGGTATTTTCTTTGTTTTTAATTCGTTTTTAAAAACGTTTGCACAGAAGGGACGAGTTCATCATGATCTATTGGATCTACAAATTTCTGGGTGAACAAATTACATGACAAAAAAATACCACACAATACCATACAATACCACCTTGGTACGGGGTGGTATATTATGGTACACAATGATAAAAGTCGTAAATAACAGTTAATATACTTCTATTATCATGTATTCAACCATCCTACAGTCTTGGTTTGTTCATACCACCATGATACGCTTTTCAAACCATAGGTATGTTCTTATTTCAATACCAGTCAATACTATATGGTATAGACTGATAAAAAATGGCTCAATTTTTTTTGTTCGAAAAATATATCAAAGTGAATATCATTTTGAAGAGCACAATTAATCTGATCTAACTGTGCAAAAAAAAAAATTAAATTTCGACTTAAAACGAGTGAGAAATCGTCCGTCAAAGATTAAGAAGGGGAAAATTAAAGGCTTTTCCAGGAGAGAGGGATGCTGATGTCATGCTAATGTGGGCTGGTTACTCATGGTTACTCACTATAAGGTTAGACCAGATCCGTTTCCTATGGACAGTACTCTCTCTATTCGTGATTCATCTAATAAAAGGAATTGACTCTTGACCTTGAGTCGAGTCGAGTCAGCATTGTCGTCACTCGTCAGCGCCGGTGGAGACACCAAGTCCCCGTCACCGTCACTGACCCAAACCACTCAGTCCGTAGTCCGTACCAGTCAGTCCAGCAGGACAATCACGAGAAATTAAAATGCTTTAGCTTAGCTTTAGCTTCCCTTTCTGTCGATTAGCTCCCCCCCGACTGCTTTCGGGCGAAGTTGGGGGGTGGGGATGCTGCCGCTGCCGTCACCGCTCCCTCCCCCACCAAGGTCCTTCCCCCTGACTCCACCGCTTCGTAATCAGAATCTCATCATCCCGAAGAACCCATCACTCCAATTCCCAACTCATTCACTTACTCCCTCCCTGGAACTCATATTCCATCTTTATTAATACCCTTCTTCCCCTTTCCCTTTCTTTATTGCATAAACCTTCTGGTCCCTCCTCTTTGTTCTTAAGCTTGCACCCATCACCAATATCATGGAAGCTGATCCCATGGACGTTGATGTTCCTGATCACGATGACCCTTCTCTTCCCTTTGCCAGAAGGTAACAAAAAAGAAGGGCAAAACGCTCATCTTTGTCTTCAATGTATCTGTTTGTGTTAATGTGGATGATTGAAGAAGAAGAAGAAGAAGAAGAAGAAGAAGGTATTTTGAACGTTTGGACATTTTGCCCGTTGCTTGCTTTCTGAAGGGTTGAGTTTTGTATCTTCTTCTGTGCTAGTTATCAAGTGGAGGCACTCGAAGTGGCTATCAGGCAGAACACCATATCCTACTTGGAAACTGGGGCTGGCAAAACACTCGTAGCCATCATGCTTCTTCGTTATTATGCACCGTTTCTGCGCAAGCCTTCTCCCTTCATCGCCGTTTTCTTGGTTCCTCAAGTTGTTCTGGTCCGCCAGGTATATCTGCTCCCATTTTTCTTCCCTTCCCAACTCCTCCTTTCTTAATAATCTTTCTGATTAACTTAATAACCGCATATGGTGTGGATGATCGTAGCAAGCTGAGGCTGTTAAAACCCACAGTGACTTGAAAGTGGGTACTTACTGGGGAGAGATGGGTGTAGATTTCTGGGATGAAGCTATTTGGAAGCAAGAAATTGACAAATATGAGGTGATAGGATACACCATTTCAAGCTTGGCCTTATTCATTCATTATTAATTTGTGTGGTCCTCTGTTTTCTTCTTCCAACTCTGATCGGCCTCCCTCAATTTTCAAGGTGCTCGTGATGACGCCTCAAATTCTGCTGAATTGCTTGAGACATAGCTTTGTAAAACTTGAGTTTATCAAGGTTTTGATACTTGATGAATGTCATCACACCAGTGGTAAGCATCCTTACGCCTGCATCATGACGGTGAGATCTCACTTCTTCTCTACAACTTATACAATATTTTTCAGCTTTGGAGTTTAGCCACGGCATAGACACTCACACCCTTTAGCTTAGCTATAACCTCTTGGTTTGAGATTTAATGTCACAGTAGTAGTAAACCTTCTCAATGAATTCGCTGTTATGAAAGAAAATCTTTTTTTAGGCAAACTGAGCATTTGCTGTTGATCATAAGCTGCTTGTTCCTTTTCTTTTGTACCCTTTTCTTTATGCAATGGAGCTCTACATTTTTTTCTCAAATTTGATTACACTTATAGGAATTCTATCACAAGCTGACCTGCAACACCTCTGACCTTCCAAGGATATTTGGGATGACAGCTTCACTCATAAAATCAAAATGTATGTTTTTCAAACGTCTCTCTCGCCAGTGTCCTTCACTATGTAGCATTCTTAATCTTGAAATGTTGTGCATTATTGATCTTTCAGGTGGAACATCCGAATCAGACTACTGGGAAAAGATAAAAAAGCTCGAGTCAATGATGCATTCCAAGGTTTCTCTCGGCTTCTGGTTAACTTATTCTTTGTATTTTCGTTTTTGAACAAGTTTGAAGGCATTGCATGGATGGTAGGATTTTATTATCCTTGGTTATAGCTGATTGTTCAATTCCTGTTTTCACACTGAAGGTTTACACGTGTGTTAGCGAGTCTGCTATTGCAAGATATGTACCAATTTCAACCCCCAAATTCAGGTTTTATGAAGCTTTAGATGTACCAGGTGATCTAGTTGCTCGTTTACGGTTTGATCTGAACAACTTGAAAACAAAGGTGGGTTTCCTACTTGTCAATGAGTTTGATGTCTCCTTAGTGTGATTTGGTGGTTATACGCTGTTGACGACAGACACGCCGTTCCTTTCAGCATGAGATTTCATTGGATCAGTTGGATCTTACTGCAACTTCCTCAGAATCTGCGAGGAAAAAACTGACCAGAACTTGTGATGCCTTGCTCTACTGTTTAGATGACCTTGGTCTCTTGTTGGCTTTCAAGGTACGCCATCATTGTTCAACATGTTTTCAATGTGTTATTGTTCTTGAAATCACATTACACTTGGCATTATTCATAATATCTCTGGCAGGCTGCCAAATATCTGTCTTGCTGTGATAGTGACTTTATGATACTGGATAAACTGGATGTCTTTGGTGACCGAGTTGTTCAAAAGTTCAGTGCAGATGCATCAATGGCATTTCAAAGTTGCATCTCTACTGGTAATTACTTTCCCGACCTGTTTAATAGGAGAGTCATGAATTCAAGGTTCTTTTTGCTTGAGTCGGTTCCCTTTTCATAATTTTTTTTCCTCACATATTATTTGGCTCCAGAATGGACCATTGGCTGTGATGCAAGCACTCATGTCAAGTCTGGATATCTAACTGCCAAAGTGGCTTATCTTGTTCAGTGTCTGCTGGACTACAGGTTGGAGTCTATGTACGATTTCACTTGTAATTTAATCCTATCTTGAAGCTTGCCTCTAGGATTGGTTGCTGAATCAGCATCTTATGATTTGATATAAGTTGGCCATGCTATTTTATGTTTTGATGCTGTTGGCAATTTTTTGTATGTTAGCTAGCCTGTGTTGATGAAGTTGCTTTCATCTGGTTAAAAACAGGCATTTCAAGGATATCAGATGCATCGTGTTTGTGGAAAGGGTCATTACAGCGGTCGTTCTTCAGTCACTATTGAGTGAAGTTCTTCGTGAACACATTAGTTGGAAGACTAAGTACATAGCAGGAAACAACTCAGGGTTACAAACCCAGACCAGAAAAACACAAAACGAAATCGTGGAAGAATTTCGCAAAGGCACGGTAGGTTCTATATATGTACTTCTAGTCTACACAATGTATGTTTTTTATTATTTATCTTGTCTGTTTTGTTTTGGCTGAATGCGCAAGTTTATTTAAGGGAACACGTTTTCAGGTTAATATTATTGTTGCTACCTCAATTCTTGAGGAAGGGTTGGATGTCCAAAGCTGTAACTTAGTTATTAGATTTGATCCCTCGGCTACTGTGAGTAGCTTTATCCAGTCACGAGGTCGTGCTAGAATGGAGAACTCGGATTATGTGCTAATGCTTAGAAGGTATTCGTTCACTTACTTCTCTTTATAATATTATCAGTTAGTGTGAAAATATTCAGTTTATTAAATTCCTCACAAGTGCTTACCCTTGAAATTTATTATGCAGTGGCGATGTTTCCCGACAATGCCGACTAGAGAAATATCTCTCTAGTGGCGAGATAATGCGAAGCGAGTCCCTACGACATGCTTCAAATCCTTGTCCTCCTCTTGGAAGTGAATTCTATGACGAGAAGATTTATCGGGTTGAAAGCACTGGTGCAGTTGTGACTTCCACTTCTAGCATTTGCTTGATACACTTTTATTGCTCTCGTCTTCCTTCTGATGGGTTAGTGTTTTTACTAATATTTGTCGCAAATACAGTGAGCTTGATATCCAATGTGTTTAAATAATGTGCTACCATTATCTTAGGTACTTTAAACCAGCTCCTCGCTGTGTAATAGACAAAGAAGCAAGTCGTTGCACTCTCTACCTTCCAAAGAGCTGCCCACTGCCACCTGTTTCTGTGGAAGGAGACATTAAGTCATTGAAACAGAAAGCATGCTTTGAAGCATGTATAATGCTTCATAAGATTGGTGCATTAACAGATAATCTTGTTCCAGATACCGTTGCAGAAAAATTGGTTGATAGAGAAGTTGGTAACTGTTACTTCCATACATAATACTGTTGGCTACTTCGTCTTCTGCGGATTTATAATTCTTATGGTGTTTGAATAGGCAGCTACTATTCTGCAACTCTTGATGTTCCTCAATACCTTCCTTTGATGACAGGGGAAGAATGCTATGACAATGAACATCCTGTTTACTTTCCACCAGAGGTTGTGCGCTTTCGCGAGGGTTGCAGCCAGCCGGGAAGCGGAAAATACTATTGCTATTTGATTAAACTATCTCCAGAATATGACAGCGAGACTGCTGTCCAGGATGTTGTCCTTGTCATGTGCAGTGAACTTGACACAGAGATCATTAATGCAAACTTCAGTTTAGAAGTTGATAGAGGCACACTAAAAGCCACCTTGAGCTACATCGGATGTCTGGATCTTACGCCAATGCTGGTATGTCAAATTTATCTCCACACTTGCTTCCTTAATTGTGTGTCTAACCAGATTTATCCTTTTGGATTTTTTGCTCTGGTTGTAGGTTAATCTGTGCAGGATGTTCCAGATCACTGTTTTTAATGTTCTTATCCATCACAGCTTGGATAAGTTGAAAGGAAAGATCCAAGCATTAAAGCATAGTGATCATCTGGATTATTTTGTGCTACCAGCTGCTGCTTCAGCAGAAAAAGCAAGCATTGATTGGACATGCGTTAGATCTGTTCTATTTTCTCATAAACAGGCGTGGGAGGATCATAAGAAGCACCCATTGCAGTGCAATGGTGCTTGTGGGTTCATTACAACGGACGGACCAGCATGCAAGTGCATGCTTCAGAATTCGTTGGTTTACACCCCTCACAACAGTAAACTATATTCTACACTTGGTATTTCCAATAATTTGTCTGGAAATTCCATCTTGAACATCCGCGACGGAGCAAGTCTCACTTACAAGGACTACTATAAATTACGGTGAGGAAATTTTCCTTATTTCTGTTAATGTGACACCTTTCCTCATTCTGTCACATGACACTTTGGTGTAAAGGCAACTGATTTGGATGTTTTCAGGCATGGCATTGAGTTAGACTTTAGTCAGCAGTCATTAGTCAGTGCAAGACAGATATTTCCAGTCCACAATTGTCTTCTTAGATGTAAACAACGACGAAAAGAAAAAGGTCCAGCATCTCTGTCTAATTTTCCACTGTTTACAAGCAGTCTAATGCCTTGCGAGGTATACTTAGGTCTTCTTATCTTATTTCATCCCCTCATATTCTTGTATTTTCTGTTTGCAGAATCAAGAAATGCTTATGTGGACCTGCCTCCTGAGCTATGTTGCATACTTATGTCACCAATATCTATTAGTACCTTTTATTCCTTCACATTCATTCCATCAATTATGCATCGCCTCGAGTCTTTATTGATTGCTTTGAACTTGAAGAAGATGCATTTGGATAGCAGACATAATCTCGACATTCCGTCAGATAAGGTAACTTGCATTTCTGTATATGACTCGAACTAATATTTACTCATTTACCTTTTCTTCTTCCTCTCCCTATCAATACTCCATGCTAGTTTTCCGGCAATTGAGGTAAAGGGTCGTTTGCTTCGTGGATTTGAAAAATGAAGGTTTTGGTAAAACTTGGGTTTTGTAAAACAAGCTATAATGTCAATTTTCCATGGTAGGTTCTGGAAGCTATTACTACAAAGCAATGCCAGGAGAAAATCCACTTGGAATCACTAGAGACTCTTGGAGATTCTTTTCTCAAGTATGCTGCCTGTCAACAACTGTTCAAGACCTACCATAATCACCATGAAGGCCTTCTGAGTATCAAGAAGGACAAAATTGTGTCTAATGCCTCACTTTTCAAGCTAGGATATGACATCAAACTTCCAGTACTATTTCCTTCAGTGTACTCTCATTTGATGTCTTGCTGTATATAGCTTGTGACATCATGCTTTACTGAATACTGCTACCCTTGATGAAAGTCAAATTTCTAATGCTCAAAGTAAATTTGCAGGGCTTTATCCGTGATGCGCCTTTTGATCCTAAAACCTGGATGATTCCTGGTTTTAACAAGGATGAGTACTCTTTAGGCGAGGAGTTGCTACCAAATGGTAGAAAAGTATTTGTGGTGGGAACAAGGAAATTGAAAAGGAAGAAAGTGGCTGATGTTGTAGAGGCCCTTATTGGTGCTTACTTGAGCACAGGTGGTGAGACAGCAAGCTTACTGTTCATGGATTGGATTGGTATAAAGGTAGAGTTCAACAATAGTCTTGCACGTGAGAGACAATTCCAGGTGGATCCTGAGAAGCTTGTAAATATCCGTCATTTGGAGTCTCTGTTGAACTATTCGTTTAATGACCGATCTCTTCTGGTCGAAGCATTGACTCATGGTTCCTACATGCTCCCTGAGATCCCAAGATGTTACCAGGTTTATTCACAACCTTTTCCTTACCGTCAGTAATTGCAATAGCTGCTTTATTCTTATGTTAAATTATTGTCTTACTTTCTACCAAAGTAGTTACTGTTGAATGTTGCTCCTCAGAGGCTGGAATTTCTTGGCGACTCGGTCCTGGATTATCTCATCACCGTGCATTTATACAAGAAGTATCCTGATATTTCACCAGGCTTATTAACAGACATGAGATCGGCTTCCGTGAACAATGAATGTTATGCTCAATCAGCTATTAAGAACGGGTTGCATAAGCACATCCTCCATGCATCACAAAAACTTCACAAGGACATCAGTCGCTGCATTTCATACTTGAAGGAACTGTCTTCAGGGCCAAGTTTTGGTTGGGAATCTGAGACTTCTTGCCCCAAGGTTAGTCATATTGGTAACACAGTTTGGTGAATATGTTGCTCATCCATCCCTGTACTTCCCTTATTCCTTTCGGGTCATTGGCCGTGTTTGCAAACCAGTAGTGCAACAAAGGTTGCTGAACTGATCATTCCTTGTTGTTCTTCTGGATCCATGGGCTCATCATTACACCTTGTTCAGGTTCTTGGAGATGTCATAGAGTCATTGGCTGGGGCGATACTAGTTGATTCAGGATACAACAAGGAGGTAGTTTTCCGGAGCATAATGCCATTGTTGGAGCCATTAGTCTCTCCGGGAACACTAAGGTTAGAGCCAGTGAGGGAGTTGAATGAATTTTGTCAGAGAGAACAGTTTGTGCAGAGGAACCCTGTTGTCTCTCGTGAGGATGGGTTGACGTCCATCACGATACAGGTCGAAGCTAATGGTGCCATATTCGCGCACACATCGAGCGCTGCTGATAGGAAGACGGCCAAAAGGCTAGCTTCCAAGGAAGTGTTGAAGGCCCTGAAGGGAAATGACGCTCGCCTCGCCTTCATGGTGAATGAGACCTGACGTGACGACAGACGGTTGTGCAAATATGTTTTCATGTTCCCCATCCTTCTTGCCTTGCTTGCCGATCGAACTTGACTTAGGATTGATTATAAACGTTGACAATCGATTAATCAGCTTAAATATCTCATTAAAAATTAAGAAAATGTTGTGTTTCAATTGTCGTTGTGGATAAAGAGTGCAGTTTTCGTGCCAATCACCAACAATGACAACGATATTAAAAAGGAAAAAAAGGGAGAAGATTAGAACAACAATGACACAGCAACAACAACGACCAAAGAGTTGACTTTCCGCAAGATTCAAATTGTCTTCATCTCAACGTCAAAAATAACAATTCAATAAGAAACAAAACAAAATCATTAAAGGCTGCAATGCATTAGAAGTGTTATTTTTTTTTTTGATTGCAATGAGGCGTAGAAACGCCAAGAAGAGAGAAAGCAGGGTTACAGAGGGTTACAGATGGAGTGACAATATTTCTAGGTAAAGTCAGCCCACGTTCATCATCCTTTAATGTAACAATAAGTTGGGCTTGAGGGTTGACTAGTTCATGCATACCGTAGGGATAGACGAGACTGTGCTTCGAGAGCCAGTCCGCGACTCTATTTCCTTCCCGGTATGTATGCACTAGGTTAACCAGCCAGTCTTGCGCCAAAAGTCTACGAATCGTATTGAGCAGGGAAGCAAAAGGGTGCGACTTATCAGACTTGTGCTGAATGAGATCGATCGCAAGCTGAGAGTCTGTTTTCGCAATGAGAAATCGGAGCCCCTTGCGCCAAGCCATCTCGAGACCTTGTTTAAGGGCCCAAAGTTCCGCATGAGCAGCTGTACATAAGCCAATGCTATAACAGAATCCACCAATCCATCTTCGTTGATCATCCCGAAGTACTCCTCTAGCTCCAGCCTTCCCCGGGTTACCTTGGGACGCTCCATCGACGTTCAACTTATACCAGCCAGCCGGAGGGGACGACCAGCTGATATCCGCTGCTGCTCGGTTCGTCTTTTGCAGGTTCCTCTGTAGCAGGGGCGAGGGGGCAGTCCAGGCGGTATGCCAAAGCTTCGTCTTCAAACGGATCGCGTGCAAGAGGGAAGGAGGAGATAACACTTTGCTGCCACCGCCCAATGCCCCTTCATTTCGGTTTTTCCATATTGTCCAAAGAGCAATGGTGAACTTCGTCGCCCAAGGAGTGCCGTTCACGTCACAGGTTGAGCTGAGAATGTTCTTCTGAAGCCACTGATCTAAACCTGCAGAGAGGAAGTCCACGATCTCATTTGCAGGAACTTCCCTAACCCAGAAGTAAAGAGAAGCCGGGCAATCTCTAAGAATGTGGAGTTCCATCTCCGGGCAGCTGGTGCACTTGTAGCAGAAGGGATTCGGGGCCAGGTGCTTGTCATAACGACGCTGGTTGGTGTTGATCCGGTGAAGGAGAAGAATCCAAGTGAAATGTCGTCCCGCTCTGGAACTTGAAGTTGCCACACTCGCTTCCATATCTGACCAACCGGGCTTGGGGGAGCAGGCTACGCTAGCTGATAAGCAGATTTAGTGGTGAATTTACCATTGGAGGTGGGCTGCCAGATCAGTTCGTCTTCCCGAGTGGTCAATGGATCAACTGTTATGGCCGTGATGATGTCTACAACTTCTGGTGGAAGACGTTGGTGAAGGAGATCAGTCCGCCATCTCCATACGTCATCAATGTAAGTAGCAACTGAATTCTGAACATTAGCCTAAACATTCATGTTTCTTCCCGGAAAATATTTGTGCTTAGATTGATGGGTCGTGATCAGATTTAAATAAATTATTACAAGGTACTGAACATTGGTCTATACGTCTAACCATAGTCGAATGAAAGATGATTTTTGGAATTTTGGTTGAAGTATCCTACTTAGTTAATTGAGAGCTCCACAACTTCTAGATGAAATCTTTCATGAAAGGAGGATCTACATTCTACACTATGGAGAAAAAAGATATTGCTGAACAATCTGTAGTCTTGATTGTCTCTATCGTCTCCTCCTTCTATTTATCCTTATAGGCATGTTGGATGGAGAGTTAGAAGAAAATTAACCACCATGTGAAAAAGTTGAGGAGGTGAGTGTTATAGGAGTTTTAGGAATAGTAAATTGTATTATTATGAAACCACAAAGGGGTTTATATAGATCACAAGACTTGGACAATAAGTAAGAGAACCACAATACTAGAAGGACACGGTAATACTAAGAACTATACTATAAGGACAAGGAAATATAAGATTATTCCTAATCTATCTCTAACAAGTGTTACGTTAAGAATTAGTTGGCGATCCCGATGTCAGAGTTGAGTTATCAAATGCTTTCCCTTGCTTAATTAATGATGTTGGGTTAGTGACGTTGTTCTTGACCAGTTGAGTTAGAGCGACATCCAGCCTGAGCCAGTGTTGTTGTTTCTGTCAAGTCAAGTTAATTGTTGTGATGAGGTCATCAAATCGAAGTCCAATTCATCACACGAAGGTCTAATTACTCGTCTACAACCCAAGAGATTAAGAGAGGAATTTGCTGCTTATTTGGATCGACATTATGCTCAATTGGACATGGACCAACATCATGGGAAACCCATTATACTTCTACAATTCGTGGACCAGCATGGAGGCAACTTGGGCTTCAAGGAAGGTGGATATGAAGGCTAGATTTTAAGGAGTTGTTGACTTGGTCTTTTCCTTGTCTTTTAAGGATTGTGTTTTCCTTTTACTTTTCCTTTAAGGTTTTGTTTTCCTTTAATTGTAGGATTTGGTCATTTGTTTGCTTTCTTTCTTAGTTTAGGATTGGATTTTCGTTGCCTATATAAGGAGGATGAGTCCCTCATTGTAATTCATTCTATTATTAATCAACTTTCAAGTTCAAACGAACTGGTTTTTTGTGCAAGCTTCTGTCGAGAGTGCTCCAGAGGTTTCACGTGTCTCTTATCAACTAGAGAACGCGTCTAGTTGTGGTGAGCTTCTACCCTATATCAATTGCCCCTTTCCACGAGTTGGTGCTGTCCGATTGGTTTCATATACCAATTTCCCTTCATCACGGTTGGGATTGTCCAATTGATTCCGCATCTATCTTTATTTTTCGAGTTCAAGAAAGGCGACATCAGAAAATCATAAAAAGATCGTTGGAGCTGCGTACTTTGGTTACATCAAGTGGTATCAAGAGCCCGGTTCAAACACAGCGGAGAAGAAGAAGGTTCTTGGGAATCTTGACGTGTTCTTGAAGCAATCTTGGCGAATTCTTGGGGGCTTTCAGCGCAAGAAACACTACCTTGTGCCACAAGAATGGATTATCCAATGAAAGCAATGATGGATCAATTGGCGGAAATTCAGCGAACCCTAGCAGCCAACGCCGCCGATGTTAATGCATGATTCGCCATAGTCGAAGCAAGGCTAGCCGCGCCTCAAGCTCCTGCGCAAGAAGCACCACCAAACCCTGATGCCGAGAGGCCTAGGCGAGAAGATGAAGAGCGAGGAGAAAGGAGGATTGTTCCGCAACCCATGGCCGAACAATTGAGGCGCCATCGTCCTTTGGGGATGCCGCGAGCAAGGAGAGCGAATCCTCGAGTGCAAGACGAAGAAGGCTAGTATGACGACGATGATGCCAACCTTAGAGAAGTTGAAGACGAATTGAGAAATGTGAGGGTCACTATTCCATCATTCAGAGGTGCTACCGATCCCGAAGCTTATCTTGATTGGGAAAGAAAAATGGAGATGATTTTCGACTATCACAATTATTCCGAGAGGAAGAAAGTTCAAATGGCTGCAATGGAATTCACGGATTATGCTATCATCTGGTGGGATCAAATCTGTACGAGAAGAAGGAGGGATAGGCAACGCCCTATTGGGACATGGGAAGAGATGAGGAGCATCATGCGGGATAAATTCGTCCCTAGCCACCATCGTAGGGAGATGTATCAAGCCCTACAAACCTTACGACAAGGTACAAAAAGTATAGAGGATTACTACAAGGAGATGGAGATGATGATGATTAGAGCTGACCTCGTAGAGGAGAATGAAGCCACCATAGCACGATTCCTACACGGTCTCTATCGAGAAATCAGGAATGTGGTGGAAATTCAACCATTTAGAGAGTTATACGATTTGGTTGCAATGGCGGCCAAAGTTGAGAAGCAACAACGTAGTAAACTTGGAAGAAGGTTCACACCTCCCTCTAGCGCACCAAGGCCAGGAGTGCCTTCGACTTCAAACCCTAAGCTAGCCATTTCAAAACCAGAAGCACCAAAACTGGCAGCCAAGGTTGAAGCACCAAGAGAGAGACCCACACGCTCTAGTGGAGGAATTCAATGCTTCAAGTGCCATGGAAGAGGACATATGGCCAACCAATGTCCTAACAAGAGAGCTCTAGTCATGTTGGAGAATGGAGAGTATGTCTCGGATTCTGAGGAATAAAAGGAGGCTAATTCAGATTTTGATGTGGACGAGAAGATAGAGATGGAGGAGGCACCACCAGGAGAGCTTTTCGTAGCTAGAAGAATTCTAAGTGTGCAACCCAAAGAGGAGCTTGAACAAAGAGAGAATCTGTTCCATACAAGGTGCACGGTGGATGGGAAATTACTCTCGTTGGTAATTGATGGTGGAAGCTGCACTAATGTCATTAGTGTCTATTCGGTTAAGATGTTGGGATTAAACACTTTGAAGCATCCCAAGCCATATACACTTCAATGGCTCAATGATCATGGCGCCATCAAAGTAACAAAGCAAGCTCTCTTGAAGTTTTCGATTGGAAGGTATGAAGATGAGATCTTATGTGATGTTGTGCCTATGCAAGCGGCGCATGTCTTATTTGGGAGGCCATGGCAATTTGATCGAAAGGCACATCACGATGGAGTTACTAATACGTACGAGCTAGTACATGGTGGGAAGAAATTCATGTTGAAACCCCTATCTCCCAAGGAAGTTTATGAAGATCAACTCCAAATGCAACGAAAGTGGGCGAAGGAGAAGGAGCAGGAATCTCAAGTTACGAACAAGAGTGTACATGGGGGGTCTAGTGTCGTGGAGACCAAGTCATTGATGATAGCACGAAGTGGAGACGTGAAGCAAGCAGTAAATGATCATGAAATAATGATCATGATCATCTATAAGGGCGTGCTACTCAAATCAAGAGATACCACCTAGGGCACGAGTGGTATTAGAAGAATTTGAAGATGGCTTCCCCGAGGAA